GCAGGACAAATGTTGGTAGAATTTGAGAGTCATTGTACAAAACTTTGGGAATTTGTACTTCCAAGAAGGCTGGTGAAAAGTCTGAGATTATCTCACAGCTCAGCCAGGCTGACCTTAGAAATCTGTGTTCTCTCTTCAAGTTGGCTGTCTTTTAAAGGATCTGTGTAGAGAAGAAGTGTGAGGACTGTAGTGGGTTAAAATTTCTCAATACCCAGGCATAATTTTTTCTCCAATGAATTTTATAGGAGCTCTAAAGAAATAACAATAATGTCCCAGAAATATATAGCTGAATCAAAATCATAATTTTATATAAAATAGCTTAATTATGCATATATAATTAGATCCTATTTGGAACACTTATTTTGAAATAATCTATGGTTGCATTTTAGCAATTTTGCTGTGAGTACAAACTACCTCCTGGGGCTCAAGGGTCTCTGGAACACCTAAAAGATTAGAAATGCCTTTCTTTATGAGACCATGGAGACTTGGATGGAGAGAAGTCATTAAGTACAGGCAGAGACTTTCTGAGGGTGTAAAGGGGCTTCCAGCCAGCCAGAACCAGGATCCATTTTGTTGAGACTATGCCATGTTTTTCAACATACCTGTTTCACTTTATACCTATAATTAAATTGATTCATTAAAACAATTTTTTTATTTCAGCATATTACAGGGGTATAAATGTTTAGGTTATGTATATTGCCCTTGCCCCACCCGAGTCAGAGCTTCAAGTGTGTCCATCCCCCACATGGTGCGCACTGCACCCATTAGGTGTGAATATACCCAGCCCCTCCTTACCCCGCACCTGCCTGACACCCAATTAATGTTACTACTATATGTGTACAATTGTCATACTACATTGAGAGGCACTGTACTGGTTAAGAGCATTAGAATTAAACGAAACTGAATTTGAATCCTAAGTCTGCCTCTTACTGGCTATGTAAACTTGAACAAGTAAGTACACTCCTTTAAGCCTCAGTTTCTTTATTTATCAAATGAAGGATAATAGTACCTAGCTCACAGGTCTATTAGAATGAGATTATATAAAATGCTTAACACAGAGTATAGCACATTGTATGCACTCAATAAACAATTATGGTGATGATAATCATTGATGATACAGCATTACAACCATTTGTGTGGCTATTTCCAAAGTAGAGTATATGTCAAGAATTTTGTCTCACTCATTCCCTAAACATCAATACCTGGCACAGAATATTGACTGGATGGATATATGGATGACTGATAGCAGCATAGAAATGACATTTCCCTCCATTGTAACTTCTTAGCTCAGATGTGTACAGAGAATGGAGGGTAATACTATTGCCAGGGTAAGTGTAAGTTGCTAGGTAGTAGAAAGTCTACATGGAAACATTGCTTGAAATCGTATGGTAGAGCTGCAACTTAGAGGAGCAAACTGGCCCAACTAAAACACCACATTTGCAGGATTTCCAATGGGCTGGGGCTTGGGAAGTGCATGAATCAGAATAGAGAGTACAAATCAACATCTTATGGCTCTTACAGCAATGGTCATGCCAAGATCAAGAAGGTAGTGGGAAAAGGGTACTAGAAGAGACACTAAAAGCAAAACAGAACAGAGTATTTATTGTGAAAAGGACTTTGGACGAATATTGGCCTTTTTTATAACCCTTGTATATGATTTCAAATCTTCAGAAGTTTGAATTCCCAACCTAAGTGGCAGTAGTGCATACTTGTTGGTAGTATTCCTCAAGGCAGGCCAGGAGCCTAGAAAAGGCAGAATATTTCTCTGGTATTTTATTCTCAATGTGTTTAAAATTGTTAGACTTTTTTGATTTTTTAGGTTCTGCAATACATATATAAGGCCCATGATTTCAGATAGTTTTCTTTGGTGACATTGGACATCCACATCCACTTTGGTGCTTAATGGTTAAAAATAAACAAATAAAAAAGTAATCAATGTGATAGGCACCTTTGAAATGCCATGTATAACCTGCCCTCTAGCAAGCCCTGCTAGGCGGTGTAACCTATGGAACTCATGGCATATTGAACCAAAAGAAGAAGAGTTTATTTACTCTGGCTTTAGCCGTATGTCATGAATACATTTGTTTTAAATGGATTTATAAAATATTAATGTAATCATACCAAGCAACAGAGTGGTGAGTACATCAGTCAGGAGTTATATTTATCCTGTGTACTTGTTTTTTGTTTGTCTCTATTTATTAGTAGACAGTACATGGAGACAGGCATTTCCTTCTCAGTCAAAGTGGCAGAACTTGTTTAATGAACTCATGTTTCTGTAATCTGTGGCAAGGTGGAGTTGTGAGTGACAGAGCTATATGAATAACAATGAGGAGACAGGCAGAACAATAAAAGGAAGACAAACATTTCAGTAGAAGGGGGAAAATAGATAGGATTGTTTAGTTGGCACACAATCTAATCTGATCTTTTCCTAAAGAAAATTAACAGTTTGTAAATGGGCGACATAATGTTAACAATTTCACTAAAATCTTCTGCATGAGAAATCAAATTTTCCAAAGACATAAATGGCATTCTTAACCACAGTGTCCTTATTCTATAGCATAGGACGACAGGGTATCAGGGGCCTTAACTTCTCCAAGATCGAAAGGGAAACCTAGACACCACCCCCACACAGCTGCATAGAGCCTGACATATAGGAAACCTATCACGAATGTTTATGGAATGTGGGAATGAATACCTGAATCAGTAAATTTATCGGTGTGGGTTTGCATATTTTGAATGGAAGGAAGGACACTTACCTATCAGGACTACCTGTCATGCCAGAGGTCTTCATATCTTCTCTGTCCTTTCATCCTTTAAGCTAAATGTCATTACTTATCCCCACTTTTACTGAAAACGAGATGGTAGCACACAGATATTAAGAAACTTAATAAACTTCTCTCAAGGTCATATAACTACTATGTGGAGGAGAGTAGAGATTTGAGAACCACAGGAGGGAGGGAGGGAGGGAGGGAGGGAGGGAGGGAAGGAAGCTGTGTGTGTTTGCATGTATATACACATGCATGATGGGTGAGATGACATAAGAGGGCTAAAAGTAAATATCTTCATATGAATAAAAATTCCCCTTGGGAGAACTTTTTTCTTCCTAAACATTTCCAGAGCCTTGATATCTCAGAATGGCAGGCATGTGAGAGGATGGGGAATGCCCTAGCTTGCTTGGGCTGGTTTTGTATAAAGGATGCCCACGTGCCCAGTCACAGAACTCCCTCTTACTGGGCTTGTTGGACCTGAAGTTCTGTTTTTATGGGTTCTTTCTGCTATTTAGGTCCACCTCTTCCAGCATCTTAGAGAGCTACCCAGGGGACTTCAGGGCCGCCTTGAGGACATGCTTACAGGCATTGCCACTCTGGCCTGTGTGGTGAGCATGGTGAAGTCTTTGGGAGTAGGGCCTACTACTACTACTGCAACTACAGCTGCGTTACCAGAACTCATTATGCAATACTTTGTTTATAGTTCACTGTGCATGGTTTTATAGTGAAGGTGGGGAAACAAAGAAGTAGAGTATATTCTCTTCTCTCAAAGAAATGACATTTTGATATAGAGACAAAATTTAAACAGTGAAATCAGTACCACCCTTAAACCAAAGCAAGTAGGGCTTCTGTCCTGGGCCCACACCTCAGGGGGCCCTATGCTTTGGAATGCCTACCTCCCTATTTTCTAAGTCCCTCTCCAATTCCAAACACTGGCCAAGGAGGCAGTGCCATCAGGCCAGGTGCCCTGAGTCCACAGCAGGTCCTGCCTATGTTCTGGTCATAAGAAGCACATTTATTGAAATTTTCTAAGTTCCCCTCCAGTGTGTAGAACTGACCAGAGCGGGTAATATCATCTAAGTAAGAAGCCTCAATCTTCAACTGGACCTGTGTGGGTTCCAGTCCAAATTTCTCCCCCTTGGGGTGTTGTCTAATCCTCTATCCCACATGTGCAGTCAACTAGATGCACCAAGAAGCTTCAGGACTCATGCCTGTGGAATCCTCCCCAGAGTCTTGGTTCCGGGAGAGTAGCCTGGCAAATAAACCACTCTAGCTGGCTGGTGTGGTATTTCTTTCATGATATCACATGAGATAGTGCCACCAAAATGCTGTCGTCACTGATTTGGAGTGAATCAAATTGTGTACATAGAAAAATTGTGCCCCACAAAAACTATTTGTGTGGGTGCCCTCACACATTCTAGAAGCATGCCTGAATAAAACAAAGGATGATGTGAAATAAAATTAAATTCAGTAGCAATGAGTGTAGAACAAACGGTTTTTGAATACAGAGTTTAAGAATGAATCAGAATTATCTGGAAAGGGCTCTTCAAGGAGGGTGACAATTAAGCCAGACCTTAAAGCATGGGAAGAATTTGCAGAGGCTCAAATGATTCCAGGCAGAGAAAACAACATGAACAAAGGCACAGAGAGTAGCTATTTATTGCAACTTTTTGTGCTATGTGCTGTGTTAAGCACATTAGATTCATCATTTTATTTACTCCTCACAGCACCCTGTAAGGTAGGTGGCATTAGGCCTATTTTGTAGATGAGGAAATGGAAGTTCGTCCTGCTAAGCAAATGGTAGAACTAACTTCCAGGTGTGTCTGGTCCTCCAAACCGTGGGCTTTTAACACCATGCTGTACTGTAAAAAGACAGGAAGTGTGTACAAAGGACAGCAAGCCTTACTGGAATGGAATAGAGGGTATATGTTTGAAACTAGAGGCAAGATCAATAGACAAGGCACAGTCATGCTATGAAAGACCTTGGATATCAAAATGAGATGTAGATTTAAATAGGCCCTGGTCAAACAAAGCAAACAGCCCCATCCCAAAAGGAAAATGCACAACTATAATATAATATTTAAGACCTGGGAATACTAAGTACCATGTTTTTAAAATATTTTGCCTCTGTCCTATAGAAAGACCTTTATTTCATCTTATAAGGTAACATCGTACCTCCACTTAACATTGACTGGTGTCATTTAATGTTCTTTCTTCCCTCTCCTTTTCTAGACTTTGATCCTGCTCTTGGAATGATGACTGGAATTCCACCAATAACTCCAATGATGCCTGGTTTGGGAATAGTACCTCCACCAATTCCTCCAGATATGCCAGTAGTAAAGGAGATCATACACTGTAAAAGCTGCACACTCTTCCCTCCAAATCCAAGTAATATTCTACTTTTTTCCCACACAAGTCACAATGCTTTAGTATATATGAAAGCTTTCTTCTTTTCCAAAACTATACCCAAACGCTTCATAGATGCATGTACAGAAGCTTCACCTAAAAAACAGAAGGCAAGAAAATTTTCTCTTACTAGGCAAGGCTGAATTTTATGCACAGAACAGTAGACTTTTGTGTGCTGGTTGCAGTACAAATGATGCAACATGTTTCTAAGCTGTCTGATGAAGAATTCAAGTGTGTTCATACAGAAGGAGGCACCCAACACAAATTGCTCAATACCATCATTTGCAGTCTTTCGTTTTCATAGCTGGCATACATGCTGGTGGTAGCAGAAAGAGTGTGGTCTGAACCTACCTAAAACATATGAGAATATACATTTGGTGCTAAGAATCTTCTCTTCCATCACTACCACCTATTCACACATTACTCAAACTATTGCTCTTCAACAAATGGGCTGCAACATGCAAGTGAGCTGTGGTTTACCTTACTGGAGGGGCAAAGAGGAATATTGAGACTAAGTCAAACTACTTGTACCAATCTAGTTCAATGCAGTTCACGTGGAAATGATCTAAGAATTTGAATTGTCAGTAATAAATATGCTTCTCCTTAGATTCGCTTCAAAGCATCTGTAACGATATGGTAGCCATATTTCAGTTAAAATGTTGCAACAATAATAATTGACTCAAGCTTTTTTTGCAGATATGTTTGGGGTTTTGAATACTTTAAATGAACAGAAGCTACTTCTGCATGTAACCTAAGTGTCATTAATGATTTTTCCATAGTTCTAGTGGTGCTGGGTGGCATACCAACAGAGCCATTGTTGTAGTGCAAAGATTAGAGCTATTTGTTAAGGGATAAACTCAGGGGTTTAGGTCATAGATCAAATGACCTTGCCTTATCAAGATAAATATGAACCTTTGACACGTGACTTCAGACAAATATTTCATTTCCTACCTTAAATAGGAATCAGTTAGTCAGTGAATGAGGCCCTGGCAGGGACCCAGATTCTACATAGTATGGTCTGCTCAGAGCTGAGAGGATTTAAGAATCAGTTAGGGTTATTTGGAAAGATCATCTTGACCCCTTTTGCTAGTGAAAAGTGATCTTAATACCTTCTTCTGATTTTTGAATTTGGTTGTCAACAGCGGACATTCTTCGAGACCAGTAAGAAATCTAGGAGGGCAGCATCTCAGAAGACTGTATTGAGAGAAGAGCTAGCATGTCACAAGGAGAATTAGGGAATGGCGAATGAGATATCCTCTGTAGGCCTTACTTGCCAGCTGAAATGGCCATTCCTGGATTTGTGTTTAGAGCCTAGGTGAATGAGCAGCACTGTTATATCTTTGTCTCTTACTCTTAGTTCCACTGTCCCTCCAAATAGGCAATGGCCTTTCTTACCTTTCTTTCAATGTATTCGTTTTGGGTTACAGAAAGCTCTGCGTCCCTGTTAGTATATTTTTCATGTCAAAAGCCATGAATTTAGGCATTGCCTATGTTAAAACCTCCTGCTTATGAAAAGGTAGAATTATGCTGATTTAATCATCCATTTGTCACATAATCAACTGCACCAGGTCTTGATCAAGTCTAAGCTAACAGCATCGTTCATAACCTGTAATGTCCAGGTTGACTGCAATAGTTGACTTTATAGGATGTTTAGTTTCTAAATTTCCAAACAGCATAGATGCCTTGTTTATGACACATAGATCACATTGTTGAACAGTCTTTAAATGAATATAGGAATATATGGCTTAAAGAGGCTCTAACTTTTGATAGCCTCTAGTAAAAGAAACAGATAGACATCTTTCCAATACATTTTTTATCTTTCTCCGCCTATAGCCATGTCTTCTCAGTTCTGAGTTGGAAGGGCCACAGACTGAGTGGGTAACATTTCACTTTCACAGGTCAGTCTTTTAGTTCTTCATCCTTGTATTAAGAATGCTGACAGGACAATTAGTGCCAGTAAAGTGGTGGCTTCTGGGAAGGAACCTGGCCTTGGAATTGAATTCAAACATAATATTCCTGACACAGCTTAAAGTAAACTGGTATTCTGTTTGCTTTTTAGAACTTGAACTTTATAAAAATGGGGCTTGCATTACTTGGGTGGGGAAAATACTAACAAAGTTACCTCTCTTAGTTCTCTGCTGAAATTATGGCAAAAGTATCATTTTTGTAAACAGCTCTAAGACTTCACTTTGTGATGGTGAGACAGGAAGAACAGGGTAAGAAAGGAAGAACAGGGATTTGGTGTGACCAAACCCCTTATCTTCTCCACAGCCTACCAACCCTACCTGATAAGTCCTTGATTATAAACCCCACTCCTTACTCCTGCCTGCCTCTGGTATATTCTCTTGTACTCAATGGCCTCTGAAATTCCTCTCAGCAAGGTCCTATGATTCAGGGACTATTACAGTCTCTTTATTCATGATCTAGTCAGCTTTCCCAATCTTGATACTTTATTAGAAAATGTCTTTCCCCTTAATTTCCTCCCCTCTGTCCCACCTGACACTTCATCCAAGTGCTTGTCACATATACAGAACCACAAAATTGTCCTGGAGCTCCCATTGTCCCCAGGTTCATAGTCCAACTCTTGACTTCAAAAATCTTTCACTGATCTGCTTCATGTGACTATCTTCAATCCATTATTTCTACTTGCCACATACCCATCCTTTAGTCAGGTTCAAGTGCTTCTTGACCTCACACTCTTCACACTCTCCTCCAGCCCAACTTCAAGTGTACCATCTCCTAGAACATTTCCACATGGAAAGTACATGGAATTAAAACCATGGTGAATCACTGTAATGCATTTCCACTTAAATAAAGGGTGACAAATCCAATGGATATGTTTTAGTTCTTTAATTTACTATATCTCCCTACCATATTTAGTACTATTGACTCCTCCATCCTTCTTAAAACCTTAAGTCATTTAAAAGTATAAGAATGACTGAGACCACCAGAGAGATTGTATAAACCAATAAAAGAAGGCCACAGAGTACCATGAGGAAGTCAACATTTCAAAATTTAAAAGAGATAGGGGAGTTTTCTTTTCTGTATACTTCTTAGCGACAGAAGTCCTCAAATGACAATCTATACTAGCTGTTTCTGCTTCTTCTTTTCTCTCTCAAATCCCCTTCATTCATGCTGTTGTCCATACCTCTCTATCAAAATGGCCCTTACTTAAAAATACTGATGACCTTAAATCCGGTGGTCAATTCTCAACTCTATTCCTAATTGACCTAATGACAACATATAAAACATATAACACAGTTGATTACTCTTTACTCTTTGCTATACTTTCTTCACTTGGCTTCCAGGACACCATACTATTGGTTTTCCTCCCATTCCACTGGTTACTCCTAAGTTTCCTTTGCTGATAACCTTCTGTTCCCCTGACTTCTTATCATTGGAGAGCCTCATGGCTCAGTGTTTGGACCTGTTCTGTATCTACACTAATACTTTTGATGATCTCATCCAATCTCATGGCTTAAAAGCTATCTACCATATATGCTAATGATACCCAAATTTATATTTCTTGCTCAGACTTAGCCTCTGAACCCCAAACTCATATCCAACTACCTACTCGATATCTCCACTAAAAAGTCAAACAGACATCTCAGACTTAACATGTTCAAAATTAAACTCCTAATATTCACCCCCCAAACTGCTCCACCAGTATCCTTCCCCATCTCAGGTAGTGACAACAGCATCCTTTCAGTTGCTCAGGCCAAAACTTAGGGGTCATTCTTGGCTACTTTCTTTTCCTCACATACCACATTTAATGTTTGAAAATTATGTTGGTCTACCTTAAAATATATATCTAGAATCCTCCAACTCTCACAATAACCACTGCTGTGATTGAGTTTGTATCCATCATGATTGATTTTCTGAACTATTGTAATAGCCTTCTAATTAGTCTTCCTCCTTTATCCTGACCCCTACAGTCTATTCTCAACAAAACAGGCAGAGTAATCCTTTTAAAACCTAACTCACATCATGTCACTCCTATACTCAAAACCCTTTAATGTCTCTCCATTTCACCATTTCACTTGCAATAAAGGCCAAAGTCCTTTTAAGGGTATAGAAGGTCTTATATTATCCCCCCAACATTGTATCTTTGACTTTATTTCCCATTCTCTTCCCCATCACTCACTCTGTTCTAGTCATACTGACCATGCTGTTCCTAGAAAACTCCAGGCACTGCCTCATCAGAGGGCCTTTGCATTGGCCCTTCCCTCTGTCTCGAATACTGTTCCCCTAAATATCTCCATGGCTAACACTCTCACCTCTTTTAAGTCTTTGCTCAAATGTCACTTTCTCAGTGACCCTGATAACCTATTTAAAAGTGAAGCTCTCCCTGCCACACTCCTGATTCTATTTACCTTCTTTATTTTTTATATAACACTTATTACCTTTTACCAAACTATGTAATTTTTAGAATATAAGCACTACAAAGATGGAGATTTTTGTCTGTTTTGTTCACCAATGTATTTCCAGAATATAGAAAAGTATCTGATACATGGCAGGTATTCAGTAAATATTTGTTGAATGATGGAGGGAGTAAGGAATGTATATAGATGGATTGTGATAGAAGGAGGGATCAGAGGTCTAGAAAGCAAACCAAGAGAGTATGGGGTAATTACTACCACATGCTGATGACTTCAAATCTATATTTTTATTCTGTATCTCTTTTCTGAGCATCAGACACATATAGCCAACTGCCTACTAGACTTTTCTAGGTGAATCTACATCAAATATACAAACAAATGATATTATGGTATAGTAGACAGTCATCAGAGTGCTCTTCTCCCAGCTCTCTCACTAACTAGTTGTAGGATCTTGGTCTAGTCATATAACCTCCTTGGGTCTCCATTTTCTTGTCTATAAAGCAAGAATGTTAGGTTAAATTAGGGTAGATACCTCTAAGGTTTCATCCAGCTCTAAAATTATGATTCTCTACAGTAGCTACCCACCTAAGTGGACACATAGGTACTACAGTAATAGGGTATTGGACAGGTGGGAGGGGGGCGGGTATATACATACATAATGAGTGAGATGTGCACCATCTGGGGGATGGTCATGATGGAGACTCAGACTTTTGGGGGGAGGGGGGGAAATGGGCATTTATTGAAATCTTAAAATCTGTACCCCCATAATATGCCGAAATAAAAAAAAAATGTAGCTACCACAATAATTATTTTCATAGGCAAAAGCCCCTGAAAATGTATTAGGAAAAATAAGAACCAATTGATAGGTAACACATAGAGCTTTGTACCTTTACTGGATAATGGTTAAGTGTTCAAACTCTAAAGAGACACAGGCCTTATTTCATATCCCAGCTCTCCACTGCTAAATAGCTATTAGATCACTGGTAAGTAACTTAACCTCTCTAATGTAGACTAGGCAAAATCAGACCTGGTCTAAAAAGTCAATGGATCAAATTATATTGGAGCACACCAAGCACCAGTCTACTAAAGATAAATGGTGAGTGAGCACCCTATTGTTCTAGAAGCAACATCCTTTGATTCCCAGGAGTTGGAGATAGGGCAAATAAAGCTCTCTGGAACACACTTACTTTTTTTTTTTTCACAGGGTGGCTATCAGAGTTTTACTGAATTCCAAATTAGCAGTTCTCGGTGGTGAGAAAAGAGGGCAGCACCATCTCTTCAGAGAACTCAATTTTACCAAGATTTCTCACTTCAGCTGCTAGACCTTCTGTATGGAGAGGTTACATTTTGAGTCTACTGGGAAATAACAGTGAACAGGGAATAAATGGTAGAATATCATATGTTGTCTTTGTCCAGGCACACGGGAAATCAGGAGCCAAAAAAAAACCAGCAAGGGCAATTTTTTTCATTTTACCATATCAAAACAGGCAGCGCCCATTTTGGCTCTCAGGGCTGTGTTCCATAAAGAGAATTAGAGAAAGTGGGTAAATTGAGCATTAATAAAGATTCGCCAGCCTTCTAATTCTTTCTAATCTGTTGGGATTACATTAAAATACATTTGAACTCTGCTGATTGTCCAAGGGGCCTTCAATCTTGAGCTGTCTAATAAAATCAACTCAGAGACTTTGCAGTATATAAATTCTGGCAAACCAGCTGAGTGATCTGTGATGCTTCTTTGAAAAGCAAGTTACAAGTGGATTATAGGTCCTCTATGTTGCTCCCTGCCTTCTCAAAGATCAGCAATGACTCTGATCCTAATGCTGATTGCCCCAGCATAGCTCCCCAGAGTGGATGCTTGGATGTAATTAGAATTGCTAGAAGCTCCTCCCTTTCCATTACCAGAGACTAGAGTTCTTTATATTCCCAGTTATCATGAATCTTTTTACATGGGAGTTTTCTTTGTCTCCATCCTGAGTAGTGATTTGGGTGCTACAGAGCTGAGCACATTACCTGATTAATAGGTGGGCTTTGAATTTGCTCTCCTACAGGGTTATCATTGCTGTATCCTGATCACTGTATTTCAGTGGGATTAGAAAATCAGGCTCAGACAACAAAGTACTTCGAGCTGTTAATTAAGGGATGGGTACTATCCATTAAGGAAGATAGTACAACCCATTGCCTTGCTTGGTGGCATGCACCTAAATCTCAGCAAATGCTATCAAAGAGGCTTTCTACATTTACCCGAGGAAAATAAATAAATCTCCAGCATTCTTGACATTACTCCTAGTGGCTTTTGTGCCCTTTTAATTAGCAGATAGTCACCACAGAAAAATCACAGCATCTAAATAGGGGGATGACTTCATCACAGAATTTTTAAATCCCACAAATGTAGCCAGGGGAAGGAGCCTTTGCATTTTCAGTGTTACATGTAAGTGCAGCAGTAACCAGACACTCCTTAGAGTTTCTCAATGGACCTAAAGGTAAACCTGAGTAAACTCAAATGATATAAAAAGGTGACTATTTGGTTCACAAAAGGATTCTTTACCATTTAGTAAGTCCTCTAAATAGTAAACATCATAAGCTTTTTATTCTAAAACAGTATTTTATTCTAAAGCCTATGATTTTAAAACCTAGCTCTAACTATACAAATGTTCTTTAAAATTCTTTACCTGTGTAGTCAGTGGCTGAGTTGTGTTCCATGGTCAATGCCATATGTGTCTTCAGAGCTGTAGATTCCTCTATCTGTAAGTGATCCCTTCTCAAACCCAGGCTAGGTAAAGCAAGGGAGCTGGGAGTTTAGAAGTTCAGATCTTAGCTACCACTTCACTTCAGACTTCTGGTAAGATTTTAGAAAGCCCCATATTGGGAATTAGGAAACATGGATTCTATAATAGTAAATAATAATAACACTATAATGACTACTATTTATTGGGAACCTATCAAGTGCTAGGCATTGTACCACATGGAATATGGATAGTATATTATCAATTACACTACAATAACCCTTGTAAGGTAGGGAATAGTATCCCTATTTTAAAAATGAAAAAAAGATATTTTCATAGGTTATATAATTGTCCCCATATGATACAGATTATAATTAAGTTAAGATTTAAATCCAGGTTTACCTGCTCCACGTTCATGTTTCTTCTTTTTCTATCTAATGTGGTAACCTTGAATAAGACGTTTAACCTCAGTCAGCTAATTTTCCTCTGTAATATCAGAGATTTAGATTAAGTGGTTTCAACTCTAGCAAGGTATTTGAACTGCCCAAGGAGCTTAAAACACAACAACAACAAAACTAATGCACAGGCTGCACACCAGTCTAATTAAATCAGACTCATTGGAGGGGGGCCTGGGCATTGTTTGTTTAATTCCCAAAATGACTCTAACGTGCTGCCCGATTTAAGAATCATTGGAAGTATGGTTGCTAGAATCCCTTTTAGTTCTTAAAAAAACTCAAAATCATAAGTCTCAAGCAACTCTGGACTCTTCCCCTTTTTGGCTAGAAATACAACCTCTTCAGTGGCCATGACCAAGATATTTCAGATTCCTGCTCCCTAAACCTCTCCTATGGAACAAAAAAATAATACAATGAGCTCTTGAAATTACAGACTTTAAAAAATTAACAGAAAGTTTGTAAGTTCCTTGAATCCCTGTATTCTTTTTATTGACTAAATAGAGGAAAAGAGAACATCATGAGAAACTGATGATTCTTAGCAACACCAATAAGACAGAGTGGTAGCAAAGTGAGGATGCTAGAAATGCTAATATCTGAGGAAGCTCCCAAATCAACTGCTTGCCAATTTGGATAAGACTCAAATTGGGGGCCTTGGCCTCCTCTATGAGCAAGACTCATGTATTTTTGCCTGTGAGCTGTAATCACTGGTTGTTAAGCTCTCCAAATCTTGAGCTAGGAGAATTGTTGTTAAGAGCTGAATGGAAAGAACGGATTACACAAAATAAATCCTTGCAGATACAAAACCAACACTAGAAAACCCATGACTATCATGCTTTGTTTTGTTGGGCTATGAACTGTAGGAGTTTGCTTGGAAAATGCTCTGATACATATAAATAGAAATAAAGAGCTGGCAGATAGAAGTGACTTTATATATTAGTATAAGATGAGTGCATATTTTTGAAGCAGAGGGAGAATCATCTCATTAAGTAGATTTTTAATGACTCTCCATGGCCAAATTTATCTCACTTTAGTTAATGATTTCCCAGATGAGCTTACTTTCTCTGCTGTCCTTCATACTTCCCTCTAAATGTTGCAAGGTTGGCTCTGGACCTCACCTCTCCAGTAAGGAATTTGAGGAAGGGCTCGCTGGTATTAAAAAGCAAAAACATAGGCCGGGTGCGATGGCTCAAGCCTGTAATCCTAGCACTCTGGGAGGCTGAGGCAGGCGGATTGCTCGAGGTCAGGAGTTCTAAACCAGACTGAGCAAGAGCAAGACCCCGTCTCTACTATAAATAGAAAGAAAACTAATTGGCCAACTAATATATATAGAAAAAATTAGCCAGGCATGGTGGTGCATGCCTGTAGTCCCAGCTATTCGGGAGGCTGAGGCAGAAGGATTGCTTGAGCCCAGGAGTTTGAGGTTGCTGTAAGCTAGGCTGATGCCACAGCACTCACTCTAGCCTGGGCAACAAAGTGAGACTCTGTCTCAAAAAAAATAAAATAAAATAAAAGGGATGGCTTATACTCTGACTGACTTTGTTAAACAAAATCATTCTAACAGCTGTAAACATTTTTGTAAATATTCACCCCATCATTGTCAAATTAATCCTGAAATAGTTCTTCAGTAAGCATGAACAGAGAGAATATAGTAACTATAATCAGAATTCAACAAACCCTCTTTCAGGGACCTTGGTTCTGAAAACTCCTAAAAATAAATAAGACTTTAAACTGAGTGGGATTTTCTTCCACTAACTGTCTTTTTAATATAAATGACTGAAGATTTGGCATAACCAGATTGTCACAACAAAAGTAAGGAACAAAACTAAAGAACTCTGGGTGGGGCATACAGATGGGCCTGGGTCTCTTTAGCCTCTAGACATTGCTAAATCATTGAGTAAAATGATCTTTAGGTTTGTGCAACCAACTTCTGTGAAGCAGAGATGAGCACCTTGGAGGCCACATACTTCAGTCACCCTTAGGCAAAAGTTTGATGGGGTTGGTAGCATTATCTCTGGAGGATGTTAAGTTTCAAAGAGGTCTGTCCCATGCAACGTTTTAATTTCAAATGCTTTTGCCCTTACACTTAGATCTTCCACCTCCTGCAACCCGAGAAAGACCACCAGGATGTAAAACAGTATTTGTGGGTGGCCTGCCTGAAAACGGGACAGAGCAAATCATCGTGGAAGTGTTTGAACAGTGTGGAGAAATCATTGCTATTCGGAAGAGCAAAAAGAACTTCTGTCACATTCGCTTTGCTGAGGAGTACATGGTGGACAAAGCCCTTTATCTGTCTGGTAGGTGTTTGGATGTTGGGATTGTGTGCCGCCCCCCACCCCAGCACAATGCAGCTATTGGGGATTGGAGTATTTGCATCTTTTGCAGCTAAAGTTTGGGCTTAATGTTACCCTCTTTTGCCTTCAGAGATAGAAAATGTATGTTCCCACCCAACCTCTTCTTTTATAGCTCTTCAGCAGCTCCCAGTTGTCTATGGGATAACACCAAACTCCTTACATGTGGGATCTAAAGACCTTGATTGTGTGCTCTACCTCAGCATCACCTCTCAATCCTTCTCTCACACACCATATCCCAACCTCAATAAGTGAAGTTTGGATTCCATAGTGTACCATGGTGTTTTATGCCTTTTCCTCCGATTAGAATCACCTTGTCCACCCCTATCTACCACAGACACACATTTTCACATCCTTCACACTCTAAAGCTCCAGCTCAAGCAAACTCCCCTGCCAGAGAGCTTTCTCTGACTTATATGCCCACTCTGCCCCAGCTGCTTTAGGCACTCCTTCCTTAATCATTCCATAACACCTGGTGCTTCCTCCCAACATGACACCTATTGCACCATGCTAGGACTTCTTTCCACATCCATCTCCCCCACCAGAGTGTGAACTCCTTAAGGCCAGGGACTGTATCTTACTTAATGTTGAATCCCCCAGCACCTAGCACATAACTTGGCACAAAAGTAGGTGCTTCAAAATAGTTATGGAAGCTACCAAATATTTATTGACTGCTAGGCAAAACAGTAGGTTGCTGGGGATATAGGAAAGACCATGACAGATAGACTTCCTGACATCAAAGATATTACATTCTGGAGATGTAAAAATATAATATATATAAACAAATAAAGAAGTTAATTATCAGTACTGATAAGTGCTCTGAAGAAGATTAAAATAGCTAATGTACCCAGGCTTATTAGGAAAGGAAGTCTTCTCTGACAATGAACTGAGACTTGAATGATGTGAAGGGAGGTTGCTATGTGAATATCTTAGGGAAGAGCATTCCAAAATAAGGAATAGCAAGCCAAAAGCTTGCCAAATCCAAAAGTGGATTTGGCATGTTAAAGTGGAAGATATGTTAGTATGGCTGGGGCACAGTAAACAGGAGAGAGGGAAATGAAGTCTGAGAGACAGGTAATACCAAATCATATTGGGTCCTGTAAACTCTGGTAGTGAGTTTTATTCTAGAAGCCACTGGAGGATTTTAAGGAATAGAGTGACAAGATCTGATTTGCATTTTAGAAATGTTACTTATCAGTAGAAGATGGACAAAAGGGTATAGGCAAGGGTGGTGACTGGGAGCTAAATTAACCAACTGTAACACTAGTCTAATCCAGAAAGATGGTGCCTTATATAATACAGAGGTTGGAGGAGAGATAGTAGGAACTACTTTGGATAAAATCTCCTGTCCATCAGATTTGAGATGTGTTTTAGTCTATTTTCTGTTACTTAGAATATCTGAAACTGGGTAATTTATAAAGAGAAGGAATTTATATCTTATAGTTATGGAGGCTAGGAAGTCTAACATCAAGTGTGTGCATCTGGTGAGAGCCTTCTTGCTGATGGGGACTCTCAGCAGAGTTCACAGGTGGTGCAGGGCATCGTATGGTGAGTGGGCTGAGAGTGCTAGCTCAGGTCTCTCTTCTTTTTCTTACAAAGCCACTAGTCCTACTCCCATGATAACCCATTAATCCATGAATGGATTAATCCATTCATGAGGGCAGCCCTCATGATCCAACCACCTCTTAAAGGCCCCACCTCTCAATACTACCACAATGGGGATTAATTTCAACCTAAGTTTTAGAGGTGACAAATATTCAAACTGTAGCAGAGTGACTGGAGCAAGGAATTGGAATTGGAATGATTTCTGATGATTATTATAAAATTAAGCATCTTCTTGCCTTGTGGCTTGGTCTCCAGATAAAATTTCATGGCTAATCTTTTGCTTAGTTTGAATTGATATTGTTCTTTGTGGAGCAGTAGACAAATAAGCCAGAAGGACGAAGACAGGGTAATTGGAAAGAGATAGAACAATTAACTACTTTTGCAGGTGGGAGGGGGGAGGAGGGGATGGGTATATACATACATAATGAGTGCTATGCGCACCATCTGGAGGATGGACACACTTGAAGTTCTGACTGGGGGGGGGCAAGGACAATATACGTAACCTTAACATTTGTACCCCCATAATATGGTGAAATAAAAAAAGAGTAATGGTTTGGAAGAATTGGGTCAAAGTGCTAGACGTCTTATGATAGGAGCATCTTTGTTCATATAATAGGCACTTGTTGGACAACTCCTTTGTGTAAACTGTTGTGCTAGATACTGTGCAGACCAGAAAATGAGTAAAACCTAGCTTTTCCCCTTAAGGTACTTAAGGTTAGTACGCAGTCATATATTCATTTATTAAAGAAACATTTATTTAGTGCCAGGCATTACTCAAGACCAGGCGTCTTCAAACTATGGCCTGCAGGCCACATGCAACCCACTGAGTGGGTGTTTTTGCCGCAGCTGCCTGTCCTGCCTGACTCGCCACCGGGCCCACAGTGCGCATGTGTGGAATGTGTGCCGCACTCTCCAACGGCCCTCCAAGGGTCTGAGGGACAGTGAACTGGCCCCTTTTTTGTTTAAAAAGTTTGAGGACCCATGTTCAAGACACTGATACAGAGTTTGAAAGCTGTAAGTGCCATAGAAGTGGCGGCAGGGGGAAAGGTGGGAGAATGAGAATATTTCTGACTCCTAACTGGGGTAGCAAAAAAGGTAGTATTTGGACAAAGTCTTTGACTAAGAAAAAATGTTTGCTTGTGGACAATGGGGTATAGAAACAGCATGAGCAAAGGTACAAAGGTGGTAAGCTTTGGCAAACATTCATATAACAGTGAGCAGTAGTTTGTGTACTAAGTAGACATGAGAGGAGGAGGAAAAACATCAGTTATTAGCACACTGTGAAAGGCTTAACAGTTGGGTCTTTATTCCTTAGGTAATAGGGAATTGTTGAAGAAAATTTTGAACAAGGAAAATAATTGTTTCTGAAAGATTAATTTGACAGCTCTGTGTAAAACTGCATTAAAGGAAAAAAGAGAGAGGAGAGGAGGTAAGTTAGAAGCCTGTTGCAATAGCCCAGGGAAAAGGTAAGGAGGGTTTGAAAAAGTAGATTAGTAACATGGGCAAGGAAAGGAGGAGGTAGATGTAGAATACTCTTATTACAGTTGCTAAGTGCTGTAGATTCTAACTACCAAAGATTTGACAGCACTTAGTGACAATAATAGAGCATTCCACAATAGTCTATTTTAATAAGAACATAAAGGTCTCAAAAAGCTCTGCATACTTATACATAAAAGAAGGCATACTGCTCAGGAAGCATCCATCTAAACATCATTAAAATCAGCTCTCTGTTAATAGTCACCTCCTAGAAACATTCTTATGGCTGCCAAAGGAAAGGGGATATCTCGACCAGTGATGTGAAAACAACTAAATTTTGCTCTTTAAATTTGAACCTGCTCCCTGAAAATTCACAAGTGCTAGAAATTTCCTCAGTGAGGTGGCTATTATCTCACATTGTAAAAGAAATCAGTTAAAACAAACAAAAATCCCTTACAAAGAGGGTTAGAAAATGTGGAGATCATTTTTTTTTTCCCCTGTGGGAGTTGGAGCACCTTTGGGAGCTGGCAGGGTGCAAAGCATACCCACTCCATAGCATCATGACATGATTAGTGGGGTTTATTTAGAGCTTTCATATTGTCCTCCTTTGATCTTCTCTACAATTTTGGGAAAATAGGCAAGATAATCATTAGTAGCCCCATTTTTCTGATGGCTCATATGATCAAATAAGATGAATTAATGTGCCAGTACATTGTAAACTGTAAAGGGCCCTAGAAAAGTTGACTTATGAAACATATTTATGTTTCTTCTTCCTAAAAAGAATGTGTGGAAGTTTTAGTGTTACTAGGTATTATTTTTTTAATAACAGCTTTATTGAGGTATAATAATTGACATACAATGATCTTTACATATTTCAAAAATAAAATTATTTAACATTTTATATATACATATACAGCCATGTAACCATCAGTAACAATCAAAATATGAATATATCCACCACCCCCAAAAGCTTCCTTCACATCCTTTTGAAATCCTGTCTTCCTACCCTTCCCCACTGCCTCCTCAGGCAGTCATTTATCTGTTCTGTCAGATTAGTGTGCATTTTCTAGAACTTTATATAAATATAGTCATACATTATGTATGCTCTTCCTTCTTTTGTATAGATCCAGATTTCCATTTGGTATCATTTTCCCTATGCTTGAATTTCCTTTAACATTTTTGTAGCACAGATCAGCTCCTGATGAATTCTTTCAGCACTTAACATGTTTGAAAAATAATTTATTTCACCTTTATTTTTTAAAGATAATTTTCTGGGTATAGAATTCTAGGCTGATAGTTGTTTCCCCTACCCACTCAGATGTTTTTCCAATACCTTCTTGCTTACATTGTATCCAATAAGAAATATGATGCTATCCTTGTTTCTCTGTACATAATGTGTCTTTTGTCTAAGAATGCTTTTAAGATATTTGCTTTATTGCTACTATTAAACAATTAGATTATGATGTGTCTTGGTGTAATTTCCTTCATGTTTCTCATGCTTGGGGTTCATTGAACTTCTTGGATCTATGAGTATTCATCAAATTTGGAAAATTTTCTCCCCTTATTTCTTCAAATATATTTTGTTCACTCCCCTCTCCCCTCTCTTTCATGGCTCCAATTAGGCATATATTAGGCCCCTTGAAGTTGTCTCACAGCTCACTGATACTCTGTTCATTTTTTTTTCAGTCTTTTTATTCCTGTATTTCATTATGGATAATTTCTATTGCTATGTCTTCAAGTTCATTAATATTTCTTATGCAATGTCTAATTTGCCATCAATTCTATCCAGTGATTTTTTTCAACTTAAATATTGTAGTTTAAATCTCTAGAAGTTTGATTTCAACTCTTTTTATATCTTTTGTGTTTCTACTTAATATGTTCAATCTTTTCTCTAGCTTGAGCATATGAAATTCAATTTTAATAGCTGTTTTTATGTCCTTGCCTATTAATTATATTATCTATATTCTGAGTCTGTTTGGATTGACTAATTTTTAATCTTTATTATGAGTCATATTTTCCTGTTCCTTTGCATATCAGGTAATTTTTTATTGGATACCAGACATTATAAATTTTACCTTATGTGGTAAAAGATATTTTTATTTCTATAAATATTCTTGAGATTTATTTTGGAATCCAGTTATATAACTTGGGAAAGTTTTGGTCTTTCTTAATCTTTGTTCTGCAGCATCATAGCTGTTTAGTCTAGGGTTAATTTTTCTCGACTATTAAGGCAAAACCCTCCTGATTAGCCAATACCCTATGAAGTATGAGTTTTTCTACTCCGGCTGATGGGGAAAGGAACTATTCCCACCCCTACAGGAACCCCAGGGTTTGTTACCTCTAATGTCCAGGTAGTTTCCACATATATGTAGACATTAATACTCAGCTAAATAAGACTGGAGGACCCTCTGCATATCTCTGAAGTTCTTTCTCTGTGCAGCTTTGTTCTTTCTGATATTTTGCCTTATGAACTCAATTTGCCATAGTCTCCCTTAACTCCCAGTCCAATCTCCTCAATGTAGGGAGACCACCATGCTTTGCCTGACTTCTCCTTCCTGTACTAAAGCCTGGAAACTCTCTCCAGGCAATATGCTGGGGCAATTATAAGGATCACTTCATTTGGTTTTGTCTATCAATGATCACTATCTCCATTGTCTAATGTCCAGTGTCTTAAAAACCATTATTTCATATATTTTGTCTATATTTTTAGTTGTTTATGGAAGAAGGTTAAATCTAACCCCTGTTACTCTATCTTAGCCAGAAGCAGAAGTCTACAGTGAGTATTATTCTTGAGAGACAAGTTGGAATAGTGGAAAGCACAAAGAATTTGGAGTCTAACAACCTAGATTCAAGTTCCAGCTCCACTATTTGCTAGTTGTTTGACCCAGGGCAAGCCACTTAACCTCCCTAACATCTTTGATGTTCTGTTTTCTCTTTGGTAAAATGTTTACCCTGCAAGCTTGTGCTGAGAATGAAATGATATAAATGCATGTGGAAATGTCTAACTCAACTCCTGAAATTTAAAAAGTACTTAAATTTCTTTCCATTTTTGTTGTTGTTGTTGTTAAGAGACATGACTTGGACAGTTAGCCAACATAAAAAAGTGGAGGTAGGGAGCTGAACCCTAATTTTCTGAATCCTAGTCCAATCACACCACCTCTTTTTTGTTGTTAAAGATCCCAAATTACATGTAATTTGTAATTTGAGTCACACACCACTGCCCATCATATTTAATTTTTTTCCAGAAAGTAAGGTTTGGAGTTGCCAGATGTTTCTAGGAAGCAATTTTAGGGATTGAAATACCAAGTTAATGTATTTAAGTTTTACCAAAATCTGTGTGATGATATGATTGACACTCTTGAAGTTCTTTAAAGACCCCATAGTTTCGGGCTACCTTTTCCATTCCTGCCAGCCCTTGGTGCCATATGAGACTCATTCTTGATACCGTTACCCACAGAGCCACCCTTAGACAGAGGTAAGGTGGTAGATGGAGGAATGAAACTCTTAAGAACAAGACTGACCCAACCTATGGAATAGTAAACTATTATAAGGGATGAGACTGTACTCCAAGTCTTTTGATGATTCACCTTGCTAGGCATGGGGAGAGATTTGGGGGTTATGTGGTCACTTGGAACTGTTGCAGTTGCATCTGAAATACTGAACTTGGAAAGGTATTTACAGTTGTCCACTCACTCCTCTCTCTTCCTCTTGTGAACTTAGGTTACCGCATTCGCCTGGGCTCTAGTACTGACAAGAAGGACACAGGCCGGCTCCACGTTGATTTTGCACAGGCTCGAGATGACCTGTATGAGTGGGAGTGTAAACAGCGTATGCTAGCCAGAGAGGAGCGCCACCGTAGAAGGATGGAAGAAGAAAGATTGCGTCCACCATCCCCACCCCCAGTGGTCCACTATTCAGATCACGAATGCAGCATTGTTGCTGAAAAACTAAAAGGTGTGGAAGGCAAGCTTCATGATTAAAAGAATGGTTGTCTGTAGGGGACTTTAATAAATACAATTGTGTTGTTGGCAGTTACCCTTTGAATTTTCCACTAATGGATTCTAAGGATTTCTTGTCTTGGAGCCTTCCAGATAGAGAGGTATACCTAGTAACTAAAGAACCAGGAAATTTGTTCTTGCCACCTGTGTCTCTGTTCCTTCATTGTCTCAATGGATAGTATTTTTTTCTCTCCATACATCAGGTGACTAAGAAAAAATAGGTTTTTCCCACTTTTCCACATCAGAGAATTTTAGGTGTGATCTATGACTTGGTACCTGTAATCATCCCCTTTCATAGTGGATGCAAGTTAGTTTTGAATTCTAAATCAAATGAGTGAATCAGGATGATAGAACTTGATGTGACTCTGGAAAACTCTGGTAAAATCCCTATCATGAGAAAGTGAAGGTCCAGAAAGCACTCATAGTATACATTTGTCATAAATTACTCAATGACTTAGCTACCACCAACTTAAAAAAAGACTTTTTCATCACTTAAAAAGGCCAAATTATTTCTAATAGCGACTATGGAAACTTTTAGACATGGCTAAATCAGACTGCTTTCCCATCTGTTTTGATTCCTGTTCCCCTTGTTTGACTCCCAGAGCCATTTTGCTAATTTAACATTAATTACCCTGCCTGATCGCCTATCTTAGTAGCTCAAATCTAGTCTTTTTCATTTTCTGAGTGTGGTTGATTTTATTGAATGAGTACTGGTGTCCCATTGATCTTATTGATGATACCAACCTCGCTGTAATGGTATGAATTTTCCCTGTTTCTTGAGCTCTCAGATCAGCAAGATACTGCTAATTCTACTTTCCAAATAGGTCTCATTCACCAGACTTGTTTACACCACATAGCCTAAGGGATTCACATGTTTAAGAAATGTTAAGAAATCTCTTCTGATCGATTTTGACTTCCTGCAGGGGAAAAGCGATAAACATAGAGTCCAGAATAAAGACAGAAATAATGGTACATTTTGAAAAACTCAAAAGGCTGAAAGCATTGGTAAAATGCCAGGTCCAAAACTTGCCTATTCACACAACACCAAACAAATCAGTTTAAGTTAAAAACAAAAATAAAAAACAACAAAAAAATGATCTTGCTGGCTGTAGTATATGTCCCTCAAGAGAAGCAAAAACTGCGCATGAACATAAGTATCTAAGTAATGAAATGAAAAACTGCTCTAAAGGGCAGGCTGACCTCTTGTTATATGTCTGCACAAAAAAAAAGGACAAGAGGCAAGAAGTTCAAATTGTTGTGAGAGAAATTTCCACTTGACATAAGGGTTTCTGGCCAGAGAGGGGTACCCCTAGAATGGGGCTTCAGTGGGATGCTAATGGACTGTCCCTCTCAGGAGTCTTTAACAGCAGAATAATTGTCTATCTTGGAGAGCTGGACCAGCAGCTTTGGAAAAGCTGTGCTACTATCTTAAGTAATCAGAGAATAACTCCTAAGTAGCTGCAGAAATCTATTTGGTGGGTGATTCCTCAGGCAAGAGAAAAAGGACGTGGAGAAATATAGAAATAAAATGAATTGCATCAAAATAGATTATGACTGGGACTGAGTGGAAATCCTGGGGCTGTGGATTAGATACAGGACTGATACTGTGGAAGGTCAGAGATGTAATTGTTTATAGCTAAAGGATTATCCACTTAACTCTTTCCTAAGGCTCCTTCCAACACTCTAATTCCATGGGTTCAGGGTAAATTTACTGTCAAATTCAAGTTAAACTAAGGACTCAAGGTTGCTTTTCCACATTAAAACACAGGACTGTAGGATTATAAAGTTCCCTCGCTAATTCATATCTCTCTCCTCTCTCTTTTCTCTCTCTCTCTCTCTCTCTCCCTCTCCTCTCTCCTCTCTCTTCTCTTTTCTTTTCTTCTTCTTCTTCTTCTTCTTCTTCTTTTCTCTCTCTCTCTCTCTCTCTCACACACACACACACACACACACACACACACACACACTCAGAGGTTAAGAAATTGGTGATATGTAAAAACTATAGTATCAGTAAAGATACTGATACTTCTTTCCTTTTTTAAGGAAAGAAGAAACATTTATTTTTCAAAACTCTTCGTAGACCACAAACAATTCGACTACTTTTGAGCCTTTCATTCTTCCTGTCTGTCTGCCCGCCTGCTACATGTGTGTGCACATATGTGTATGTACAGCTCCTTATCCTCAGCAATTCATTTACCACTATTGCCAAAAAGCCATGGTGTCCTCCTTGCCAGCATGTTGGGAAAATAGATTTTGGTTACCTTTGATGATTCGCTCTTTTTTTCAGATGATTCCAAATTCTCAGAAGCTGTGCAGACTTTGCTCACTTGGATAGAGCGAGGAGAGGTAAACCGTCGCAGTGCCAATAACTTCTATTCCATGATCCAGTCGGCCAACAGCCATGTCCGCCGCCTGGTAAATGAGAAAGCGGCCCATGAGAAAGACATGGAAGAAGCAAAGGAGAAGTTCAAGCAGGCCCTTTCTGGAATTCTCATTCAATGTGAGTGGAATTTAGAGTTCTGCTGGAAGTGTGAGAGGACATTTCACTTAAGTCACCACTTGCTCTACACAGGAGCCCAGAACTACAAAGCCATCCTGTGTCAAGGGCCAAGGCTCCCTTCTTCACTACCTTCTGCTCTACTTACATTGCCAAATGCCCAGGCAAGCCCTAGTTTCACAGGAAACATGTGGGAATCACAGGAAACATGTGGGAACCTCCTATTTTCATTTGTTCTGGTATATCTACTTCAGCTCCTTAGAAACAAAGATATTATACTTAGGCCACATCCTGGAATTTTACAGCCCCAGGCATCCGTAGAGGGTTGGGTATTTTATTCCTGAAGTTAGGATGTAGCATTAGCAATACAAGGCTGCTTTTCTTCAGTTTTGTTTTATTATCATCATGCAATATGTTTTCTATAAAATCTATTTTAGTAATAAATATGTAATTTTATTTCCCAAGGTGATTGAATAAAAAACAAATTTGCTACTTCCATATTTTGTACTTAGTTTTCTTTCTTCCACTACTTTTGCTGGAAGGTCATAGATACTTTGATGGGGTAAGAAGCCACCAAAATAGCCATTTTCAAAAGAAAGTACCACTCCAAATCTATCCAAGTCTCTTCAGTGAGATAGGTCAAATAAAGTCCCAAGTAATGTTTTTTGTTCACCATATTATAAAATTATCCACTCATGTCTTCTCAGTAAGTAACTGTATTTACCGTAAGAATAAGGGTACAATTTTATGATTTTGCTTTTAAACAATTATGGTCTACTCTTGCCATACTTGACTTCTCATATTTGACTCAGACATAATTGGTATTAAGGAGGAGTTGTTCCATTTGCCATTTGTATTTTGAAGGCATACATGGGCATAAAATCCAGGAGGCGAAATCAAATGTCTTCAGGATTTCGGAATAAGTAGAAAAAGAGACCAGCAAGCATCATGGGAATATAAATCCTCAAATCACTAGAGGACAGGGTACAAACAGGGCTGTAAAGAGAAAAATAACACCTCTGGATTTTCTTACCATGAACACCCCACCAGGCAGAGGCTCTTGTCCTTTTCCTTTTAGGAAAGGCTTTTCTTTCTTAAAAGAGTCATGTCTAAGCTTCCCCTCTCTTGAACTGATTAGGATAATGCCCCAGAATATTTTTACACATTTCCCCATTTGACATTTTAAGTGACTCTGGAAAATACTCTTTAGTACTATACTTACACCATATTCTTCCATAAAACATATATTTCTCCAGTCAACAAGCATACCTAGGTAGACTTAGAAGAGATTCAATCCATCTTAGATTTTGATAGATGCTTCTGGTTAAACATACCTCAGAATAGTAAAAGGATGAATTCTGTTGAAATTAAATATCCAGCTTTATTTCATAAGGCTTGTTTATGAAGGAAGCCAGTGGTAGAAAGTTGTTGGTATAGTTTGCCATTTGATTCCATGCTCTGTGGGGTCAGTAGTACTAAACTAAACACAAGTACTAAAATAAAATTTACTACTAAAAATTTATACATTTACTACAACTCTTGCATCTCCTGACTGCATGAATACACACTGCCTGCATTCAAACTTTAGTCATCATTTTACTCCAAACCTTCTGGAGTTCCCTTTTTCTTTCTATATACTGACATCTCTTTGAGTCCCCAATAAAATCGCAGTACCCCCCACACATGTAGCTTTTGCTAAGTACAACCACAGCCTAGTATAGTGTCATAACAAGGAGATACAACAAGCCTGATGGATCTCTTTTATTTTATTTCTTTTCTCCTCTCTTTTGCCATCCCTGGATGATACCCTGGCCCAATCCACCTGCTGATTCAATGCTGCAGTTGAGCAGATAGTGGCTGTGTACCATTCTGCCTCCAAACAGAAGGCATGGGACCACTTCACAAAAGCCCAGCGTAAAAACATCAGCGTTTGGTGCAAACAAGCTGAGGTTGGTAACTTTTTACTCTGGTAGCTCCTCAAGGGGACACTTTTTCTTTAACAGGTTATTGATTTGGAGTTTAGCCAGAATTAAATAGCACCAAGCTCCCATGGTCACAAGAAGGCCCTAATGAAACACTAAGATGTGTTCTATAGCCTGTCACTGTGTCCAGACCACCTGCTGTCAAACGAGTAAAAAAATGTGCATGTGTAGAGTCTTGAATGCATTCTGCTGGATGGAAACCTTAGTAGTGGAAACATAGCTGAGATAATGACAAGTTTACTTCTCTAAGCTAGCTAGTCTTGGGTACAACAATAATTACTGACCTGTGCTTCTAGTGTTAGTAATATTAGGGCTGTCTTACATTTATTAGAGTGTCTTGACAGTTGAGGCTAGAAGCTGCCTGGTGTTACATTGGAGCTTTGAAATTTCTGAGCTTCTTTATCAAACCCATTTAGTCATCTTTATAAAAGGCAGCTTTAAAGGTAACAGAGGACTCTGATTTCAGGTTAAGATTGACACACCTCTCTGCTTGTACTCAAGTGACATTTTTAGCCTAACACTGGTATATATGTGATGTTATTGGGTTGCTATTTTGAATCAGAGATTACGGACCAAAATGGGAGGTTTCACTGATCTGCCACTGGAAATGGTGTTAATACATATGCCTCAAGTTCTTCTGTTCCTATGGGCAGCTTCCTTATCCAGCTCTGATATTTTCAATCTATATATGTAGCAACTTTTTCAACTACATTTCTGAGTCCTCTTTGCCAGTCTAGTAGTACTTCCATTATATCTATCAATGCAAGTTGTCATATTCCACAACTTTTAAATAGCATTTATAAGACATTTACATTTATAAAGTACTTTCAACTGAGAGTTGGACATAGCTCATGACTTTCCTCTGGCATTGCATTCCCTAAACCTAAAAGAACTCTTCCACCTTATATTGGTGTCTCTCTAAGTCATGCTTTGTTTGTTTTTGTTTTTATTTTCATTCCTGTTTTTTTTTTTTTTACCTCTGCAAACTGTCACTTAATAGCAGACAACTCTGACCAATGAAAGGCAGTATCCTGTGGGAAGTGAAGAAATTGTCCTCTTAAATTGTGGCTACCTCTTAGCATCACTCTAAAAATCAGAGTATCTCAAAAACTTAATCAACTAGACTGGCTCTTTCTTGACCTAGGCATCAAAGCTATGACTTATAAGTCAAGTGTTTCATCAAGGTGGAAGTCTCTAACATTTAACCTTCTTACCAGTTGCCTCTGGGAACAAGTCAGCCAGTGACCTCCTCATGTCACAAAGTACCTGTTTCTTGTCTCATTGTCATCCTTCTATGAGCAGCCAACACTGTCTTACTCTGCTGAGAGAGAGGGTATGGAATAAGAAGAAAAAGTCCTGACATTCAGGGAGCTTAGGCACTAACTTTGGTAGCATATGTCAGACAGATTAGTTTGCTAATGCGTGTTTTTCATTGCTTACCTTCCCTGATTTATGTGTGTGTGAGTCTCCTGCTGATACAATTGACAAGGGTAGTAAGAGAAGGCTAGATTCCCTCCGCTTATTAAAAGTTAGTGTCTACAGTGACTTTAGTGGCAGTTCGGTATGTTGTGGGAACTCTTTCTCTACAGAATCATTTAAAATCTGCGTGTTTCTCTCAAGCTAGCCTAGATTAGAAGCTAAACCTTGTATGATGAATAAAAGCTATAGCCATAGCAACAAACACTAGGAGATACCCCCTTTCATCCTCCCTAAGATGAGGTTTTACACCACTGGGCCAGAGGAAAGGGGACTTGATGATTGCTAGTATTCTTGTAAAATGAAATACTGTGATTGCTAAAATAACTTTCTCTCTAGATTTACAGGCCTACCATTCCAAACTCTGAAGAACTGTTTGCAGATAGATATTCCAAGTCATCCACATATCCTTGTTTTAGGATCCATCGGTACTAACACTAGCTGTTGGCCTTCAGCCATCAAAAAAACATACTAACACAATTTGGATCAACATAATTTGTATTTCCATTATGTATCATACAATAGCCCTTAATTAACAAACTGAGTTTGTGCTTTGCTTCATTGTATTAAATGATATCTCAGAATCAAATTTCTACATAAGTGTAGAAGCTATCTCACTATCCCCTGCTCCCTTCCATTCTCTCATCTGACCCATTCCCCACCAAGTTTCCTGTTAATGTTGAAAGTCCAGGTAAGTAGAATTTTGTTACACATTTAATAAGGAACTTTGATTTTTTGATAATCGTGTTCCTGCCATAAAACATGAGTAATATGAATTTAAGTCCACATAAACTTTTGTCAAACTATAGATAATTAATCTGTAATGACATAATTTACTTACTTTGTGATAAATCAGAAATATCAGCTGGTACAAAAGTGGTTCTTTTCATGAATTTTCCTCTATCTCGGACTGTTTCGCTGCTCTGTCCTCCATTGTAGAGCAGTGTGTGAATTGCTAAACTTCGGGAACAGTTACTTTTAGAACAAACAAAAATTCATTATAATGAGTGTTCAGAAATCACTTAACAGTTCACTCTTTAAACAAAAAATATCACAGATCTACTGTGGGCAGGAGAGTGGTAGAAAAACTTTAGAAGGGCTATCTTACCTTTTTTGATGTAGTCTATCAGTGATGTGACCCAGTCAATTTCAGGTAGAGATTTACAGATGCAAGTTGCTGGAAAATGTTTCTGCATGCCATTTCTACTCTTTGGTTTCAGCACTGGATCCAAATGTCAGGATGGGAAATGGGCAAATCTGGCAGGCAGCTATTTCCTTTTCTCTCTGCACTTTGGTGGCTCAGAGTCCTCCCCTGCTTGCACCTATGTCCAAACTAGGTAGAATGCTTTCCTCAGTTACATGCCACCTTGTAGCCCTTCACTCTGAAGGTATTTGTTAGGGTTTGCTTCCCAAAGTAGAGCTTTTCTGATCCAACCAGAGAATGCAGACTATAGGTATCTCTAATATCAAGTGCTTTAATGATAAAGTTTTCAAGGTATTAAAATCTCTTTCTCTTTTTGGAGGAATACTGTCATTTACTAAATGCCCCCCCACAAGTTTATATTAGTATGGTACCCCCATAACCTCTGATGTTCTTTTTGCCAGTTATTCCATTCATGTGATACAGTATTGGGTATTTATAGAAGACTAATGATAAGAGCCTGAGTTTCTTTGTAATTAAGGAGGATTGTCTAGTGGGTGGAGGGCTCTGAGTTTGCCTGACTAACTGAGCAACTTAAGGAAAACATCTCCTTAGTTTTTCTTACCCTCATTTCATTATCAGCCAAATCAATTTGTAATTCTTGTTCCTGTAGTATTTTAAGGCAGTTAGGTAAAATTTGTCCATAGGTCTGTTGTATTTCTAGGGATTTTTGAAGATGTGAAAGACTACTAGATAAGCCATATCACATAGTTAATTGGACTTTTTATGTTTCTAAGAAGAGATTATGCTTTCTTGTCCAGCTGGAAACAGAAAGATGCTTTGTGGATGCTGAGAAGCTGCAAGACATGTCTTAGCCCTCAGATCTTCCTTCCATGGGACATTTACCTAGAAGGAACACAATTTACTCTTCTGAGAAACACAATAATTTTCCCAGGGTTAGGTGACATAATTTTGAATTGAGAATTGGTCTCTGCTTATACTCCGTGACAGTCTACATTTTTATTAGGCAACTAAAAAGCCATGACTTTTCTTGATGCAGTAAGTTGTACAATATGGAAATTTGCCAATGTCAAACCTTGTTATAATCACCTTTGTGGTAACAGACCTTTGATGATAACTGAAATCTAGACTCCTGAGATAGAATGAATTCTCAGAAATGAGAAATTTCTTTATTGTTCTCTGTGCAATGAGTTTGAATAAGACATAGAAAATCTCTCTTGACCCAGTCCTCTAAATTTCATTTTTTCTCAAGCAAGTCATTATTTTCTTCTATTTTAAGTAATGCCCCTGCAGGACATGGGAGACATTATGTTAGCATTTCATTTTTCTACTACTTCTTAACTATCAGTGATAATCTTGAATAGCTCACTTTTTAAAAAAGGATCTTTATTTTTAGTGAAAACTTGAGATAGAAATTATTATTTTTCTTGATAAAAAGAATACAAAGGAGGATATTAGTTGGGATAATGACCCACTGCACCATTAATTATTAAGAAATATATTTGAAATACTTATACCCCCATAAATGGAGGCAATTTTCACCAGATAGCTTTGGATGTTTCCTGTATACAGCTCAGCAGGGGCTAACCTAGGCAAGGAATTCTCAGTTCAGTGCTGAGGACCCTCTGACAGGCATCACATTGGCCTCTAAATAATTGCAAGCTGCTCCAAAATCCACAGTTCTTTTGCTTGCTTTTTCAAAGGGACGTTTCCAGCGTGATCTTGATCATTTCCAGTATTCTCCCTGCCTTCCTGAAGATCTGTGTTTACAGCTGGTAGCAGTTCCCTTCGGCCTGAATAACTTTCTTCAGCATTTCTTATAGTGCAAGTCTGTTGGTGATAAAGTCTTACATTTACATTTGTCTGAAAATATATTTATCTCATCTTTATTATTGAAAGCATTTTTTCCTGAATATAGAATTCTGGATAAACAGATATTTTTATTTCTTCTTTAACTTTAAAAATATTATTCCACTGACTTCTGGTCTTTATTATTTCTGAAAGAAATCAAAGTGTTCAAATTGGTTTTCCCCCTTATATTGTTTTTCCTGGCTGCTTTCAAGAGTTTATCTTTATTTCTAGTTTTCTGCAGTTTAACTATGATATTCCTAGATATAGTTTTTCACACATATCCTGCTTGGGGTTCACTGAGCTCTTTGAATATGTAGATTAATATATTTCATCAAATCTGAAAAATCATCGACCATTATTTCTTCAAATATTTTTAAATCTTTTTGTCTCCTCCTTTTCTGGGATTCTGTTTACATGTATGTCACACTTTTGGATGCAATCCCAGGAGTCCTTGAGGCTCTGGTTTTTAAAAATATATATCTCTCTCCTTAAAATTAGATACATTTATATTGTTCTCCTTTAAGTTCTTTATCACTTATATTAATACTTTTAGGCTCATCTGGGTTTCTTTTCCAGATGTTGTATTTTTTCAGTTTTAGAATTACCCAGATATGGTAATTATCAGACAAGGAGTTAAAGTAGCTACTATAACCATGCTCAATTATGTAAAAGAAATATGCTCATAATGAATGAAAAGATAGGAAATCTCAGCAGAGGAATAGAAACTTAAAAAAAAATTGGTTCTTTTCATTTCCAGACAAAAGAATCCTTGTTGGTTTGTTTTTTTTTTTTTTAATGTCTAAAGAAAATAATCATTGGTTCTTTTTATTTTCAAACAAAAGAACTCTTGGCTTATGTTTAAAGTTTCTATTCCTCTGCTGAGATTTCCTATCTTTTCATTATTATGAGCATATTTTCTTTAAGTCATGAGTATAGTTATAATAGATGCATTAATTCCTTGTCTGCTAAATTACCACATCTCAGTCAGGTGTGGTGCCTCATGCCTGTAATCCCAGCACTTTGAGAGGTTGAGGTGGGAGGATCACTTGATTCCAAGAGTTCGAGTCTAGCTTGGGCAACATAACAAGACCTCCAACTCTACAAAAAAAAAAATATAAAAATTAGCCAGCCATTGTGGCATGTGCCTGTAGTCATCGCTACTCAGGAGGCTGGGTCAGGAGGATTGCTTGAGCCCAGGAGTTGCAGGTTACAGTAAGCTATCATCATGCCATTTCATTCCAGCCTGGACAACAAAGCAAGACCCTGTCTCTAAAAAGTAAATAAATAAATAACCACATCTATGCCATTTTGAGGTCAGACTCTGTTGATTGTCCTTTCTCTTAGAAATAGGCCCTCTCATCCTAATTCTTTATATGTGAAATAATTTTGGACTTCATCCAGGATATTATGGATATTATGTTGTGAAGATTCTGGATTCTGTTTTGTTCCTCCAAAGAATGTTGACTTTGGTTTATTTTAATGGTCAATTTACTTGATTGGATGCAAGCTGGAAATTTTGTCTCTTGAATGGCATCTCAAAGTTCAGTTCTTTTAGCCTTAGCTGTACTATTTGGATTCTTTCTTGTGTTTTCGTGGGTCAGAGGTCATGTGGAAATTTGAACAGTTCTTATATACAAAATTTGAAGTGGTCTCTCTTGCTCTCGTGTCTCTCTATCTCTCTGTTTGTCTCCTTTCTGGGATCCCCTCCTCACTTTCCAGTAGTTGTAGTTGCCCTGAATTCTCTCCTCAAGTTCTTTCATCCATAAAGACTATGGGTCTTCTGTTAGAAATTTAGCCTCCCTGTGATGTCCCAACTCTGATCTGCCCTAAGATTAAAAGGCCCTTCTGCCAAGTGTCAGCTCCTTTTCATAACATGCCTGATTTTCTTCACTCACCAGTGCCATCATGTAGTTATGAGTTTTGTTTTGTGTTGTCCAAAGACTATAGTTATTATCCATGGGAGGGTTACCCTAGTAGGAGTTTACTCTGGACAGCCCATTTTTGCTATAACTTCTAAAACTGTGAAAATTCAATAAAGAGTTCTGTTGAGTAAAACTATAAGAGGAAAGGGAATAGGATGGCAAGTGGCAAAATTAAAGGGTCCAACATGGGAAGGTAAAAATGGCAGAACCCTTAAGGGACAGTCCAGAAATCCACATGAGTAAGAAGTAAAGGGTTTTTCATAGCCCAAAGTGCTTTCTAATATGAGAAGGATATAAGAATCATAGACTGCTAGAGCTCTGGGTCTGGAAAGAAAGCAAGACATAGTTTAACCAAGTCTGTTTTGTCTTATGAGATAGAAACAGTCTGTCTCAGTCCATTTGTGTTGCTATACCTGAGACTGGGTAATTTATAAAGAAAAGAGGTTTATTTGGCTCAACGTTCTGCAAGCTGTACAAGAAGCATGATGCCAGCGTCTGCTCCTGGTGAGGGCCTCAGGAAGCCTCTACTTATGGCAGATGGCAAAGGGGAGCTGGCATCACATGGTGAGAGGAAGGAAGCAAGAGAGAGAGGAGGTACCAGGCTCTTTTCAACAAGCAGTTCTCACAGGAACTAAGTGAGAACTCACTCATTACCAGGTAGACAGCACCAAGCCATTCGTAGGGATTGACCCTCATGACCCAAACACCTCCCACTAGGCTCCACCTCCAACATTGGAGGTCAAATTTCAACATGAGATTTAAAGGGAACAAATATCCAAACTATATCACAGTCTCACTATGCATCTGCCTTTGCCTTAAGAGTACTCTGAGGTTTTTTCCCTAATATGTTAAAAAAAAAAAAAAGCTGCTTTATCTTATCATTACCTCTGATCATGCCCTCAGCATATTTTTAAGGCTTTCTCACCTAAAAAGCATATTTTTAACCTTAGGAAATTCGCAACATTCATAATGATGAACTGATGGGAATCAGGCGAGAAGAAGAAATGGAAATGTCCGATGATGAAATAGAAGAAACAACAGAAACAAAAGAAACTGAGGAATCAGGTAAAGATAATTCTATTTTGGTTTATCTAACAAATGTCTGTTTGTAAGGATGATACTTTCAAACCTTTCACACCCAGTGACGTTAAAGTATGAATATCAACCCATTAGCCTAGACACCAGCTAGAAATAATTGGTGAGGCCATCTAAGTGTACACTGGCTGAATATCAGCCCTGTGGCTACAGGATTTTCTGTCTTCATTTATCACCATATTCCATTGAAGTGCCTAACTAAAAGTGGACTTTCTTTTCCAAGAAGTGCTGAGCATTTAGGCAGCATTGTTCTCTATTTGGTTTGGATTTATTAATAATGTGCTCTGCAGTGGAAACCATAAAACAGCATATGCATAAATAGGCAACTAGCCAACCTTTCAGGAAAGATAGACCCCTACATCACTTATACCTTACATCAAAACTAATAACAGGTGGATTTAAATGTTAACAAAATCTATATAGCAAAAGAAATTATGGAAAATATAGAAGATGGTAATATAATTTGGGGTGAAGGTCTCCAAAGATAGAACTCATAAAAGATTTTTCACAAATGCATCTACATAAGAGTTAAATATTTCTGTAAAAAAAAAAGTCACAAAGTTAGAAGAGAATTTACAAACCTAGGAGAAATATCTGCAACATATAACAGTCTATCTATCTTCTGCCTTCCATTGTGGTTACTTGGGCACATACTAGGAATCAAACAGGAGTCCACAAACAGTTGTCTATGTAAAGACTTTTACTCTTTTTGCTCTAGTATAGTCTGGACCGCACTATGAGACAGAGGGTATGATATAGGTCCCCAGTGGGACCCATAGAGCAAACTTTTTGAACAATAGGACAACACCCTACCCTACAATTTCATAATAAACTATCTTGGATGGGAGATTACCATGGGGAAGAATAAAATATCAGCCAGAAGACTAGCCCGTTCAGGCAAACCATTCCAGACAATCATAAGAGTTAGATTGTAGGAAGGTGTACTAGAAAAAGCACTGGATCTAAAGTTGAAACACCTGAGTTCTAGCCCCAGCTCTGTCCTTCTTGACCTAGAGGGACTTCTTCCCCTCTGAGCCTCAGCTTTAACACTTGCAAAAAGTACATTATAAAAACCATCTAATAGGGATTTTGTGATGGTTAAGTGAATTTATCCATTCATTTAATAACTATTATATGTCAAGTACTGTGCTAGACATTGGAAACATAGTGGTACAGTATCCCTGCCGTGTGTGTGTATGTGTGTGTGTGTGTGAGAGAGAGAGAGAGAGAGAGTGTGTGTGTGTGTGAGAGAGAGAGAGAGAGAGAGAGAGGAGAGAGAAAGGGAAAGAGGGAAGGGAAGGAGGGAGAGAGACAGAGAGAAAGAGATATGTTATAATTCAAATCTGAATTTCTGGTTCCAGTACTTATATATTGAAGTCAGCAGCTCTATAGCCACTTTAGTGGTTTTAGAATCTTTACTTCATAAACAGAAATTCTCAAGGAAAGAAAACCACCTTGTCAGACTTTTTAAAAGACATTCATTAGCTGTCACATCTGAATTTCCTCTGTCTGCCATATGTTAGATCTTTAAACATACAAACTGCTATCTATATTGAATAAACCCTTTGTAATCAGTAATTAGTTATCATTTTCAGAATAGTGAATTAATTGCTGCAAATAAATACTATAAATTTGTAGCCAAAATAAACAAAAGAGTTTAATAAGAATTGCATTATTCAGATTACTTAAGTATTTAGCCAGGGTGTTTTATAGCTGATTAATCTTTGACTTATATTATTGTCTCCACCTTAGTATCTACAGTATTGTATACAGCATTTATCCAGTGTTGCCATGAAATAAATGCAACCATAAGTTTGAGCATCCACTTGATAAATTGCTGAGTTTGAAGAGTTATTGAGGGAGGAGAGGAGTATATGGGAGATTCAGATTGAATGCACTTACTAGGGTTATATAATTGCATTTTGCTTCTGTATCTCTTTTGAGTTAAAAGCTATATTGGCTACTGCACAAAATCTTATTCGTTTAGAGACTGGAAACTCCCTGACAGATCATCTTATAGCTATTTTCTTTCCTGTTCCACATGCCAGGATGCTGCTTTGTCAAATAAAGCTATCTACAATAGACTTAATGGAGCTTACCAAATAGCTTTTCTCCCAGAAGGTTTCAATTCATTTTAATTCAAGGACTTTTGTGCATTTTTCTTCCCCTCGATCGTATCTAATTCTGTTATCTCGCTTCTGTAGTACTCAACTGCAAAAATCCTGCTCAGTGTGAGCCAGTGAGAAAGGGTCCTCGGTTTTTATCTAAATCAGCTACATGTTTTAGCTATCACATGGTTACAATCAAAAGCTTAAGCAACTAGATCTCAGAGTTGTTGTTTTTTTCCTCCTTCCGTGCTACCAAACTTGAATTTCAGGAAGCTATGGCATTTTTCTGGTTAAATTTTACTTCCCAAAGAAAGTAAAATAAGCCTAGCAGTCTCAGTTACCTTTCCTTGTAGTGCCACAAAATTTCTGTTCTTCGAGAGACTCTATATTAGTCAGCCCATATTTGTGATGCAGTACTTGAAATACCTTGCCATGGAAGAAAGGACTGCTGTGTTCAAAGAAATGTATTGAAGAAGGAGAATCATATCAAAGCCAATCATGATCATGTGAAATTATTTCATTCTATTGTTAGACATGATGGAAAGTACATGTACCCAATAAACATAACAACAGCTGTTCCTTTTCAGCATCTATCTTCTGCCCTCTTCACTTAGACTAGTGGTTGTCAGACTTGCTATACATAAGAATCATTTGAATTACCTTCAAAAATTCAGATTTCTGGGCTGCCGAGTCTGATCCAATAGGTCTGTAATGAGATTTAAGAATCTGCATTTTATCAAACATCCTAAATGATTAAGATACTGGTGGTCCAGGGAGCACATTTGGGAAACATTGTCTTAAACTAATGCTCCTTCATTTTTCTGGCTAAAAGTTTCTCTTCTTTTGGTATCCTTTCTCCTTCTTCTTTTCCTTCCCTCAACCTCCCATTATTCCCACTTTAAAAGTTTGATCAACTAATTAACAAGTGCTATGTCCTATAAGCTGGTGGAAATAAAGATGTAAATATGTGTAAATCCCCATAAAATATAAGAAATGCCACTTGGTACTAACATGGAAAGGTCTGATTAGAATTCAGCAAGGGCAAGAGATATCAGTATGGGCCAAAGTAGTCACAGTCAGTGAAAACTGATCGTGGCCTTGAAAGATGAACAGGTTTGGATGAGAGGAAAGAAGGTAAGAAAGTATCTTGATGGGGGGAAGAGCAGAAGAAGCAGGGCTCAAAGAGGGAAATAAGCATGATGTCTATAGGGGGATAGACAATTGAATGGGCAAGATGGGCCCAAATTATGGGGGACCGTGAATGCCAGACTTAGATTTAGCATAGTAGGCAATATGGCACTATGAGCACATCTTGACCATGACACTAATATGATGAAAACAACATAAATTATGCATTTTAGGAGATAATTTTTGGATAAAGAGATACCAGCCAGAGACTTTTATAGGAATTGAGATATGAAATGGAGAAGGGTGAGACTAGAGTGAAGGCAACAGGAACTAAGATAAAAATGGTAGAAGAAAAGGAGGCAATGGAGTATATGAGATTAAAGATGTTAGGAGTCATTTTAGAGGAATAAACTAAAGTCTTTAACTCCAGTTTGGATATAGATGATGAAGAAAATTAAAGAGCCCAGAATGAGTCTAGGTTTTCTAGTCTGGGAGATTGGAGGATTGGTGGATATATTAGTTCACTAGGGCTGCCATAACAAAGTAGCACAGACTGGGTGGCTTAGACAACAGAAATTTATTGTCTCACAGTTCTGAAAGCTAGAAGCCTGAGAACAAGATGTCAGTAGGATTGGTTCCTTCTGAGGGCTTTGAAGAAGAATTTGTTCTTTTACTCTCTCCTAGTTTCCGGTTATTTGCCAGCAATCTTTGGGGTTCCTTGGCTTATAGATGCATCACCCCAATCTCTGCCATCATGTTCACCTGGCATTTTCCCTCTGTGCATGTCTGTCTCTGTGTCCAAATTTCCCCTTCCTATAAGGACACCAATCATATTGGGTTAGGACCCATCCTAATGACCTCATAGTAAGTAATATGACCTAAATAAGGTCATATTCTGAGAGCTTAAACATATCTTTTTTTGGGGAGACACAAAGCCATAACAGTAGAACTGACAGAAATAGACTGATAAATGGGACTGATTTACAGAACATGATGAGATCAGCTTCAGGGAGTAGGTAGTTAGGAAATAGACAGGGTCTGTATTGAAGTCATAGTTGAAGAAAGTAGAAGGAATAGAAAATGTTAGTGTAGAGCTGTTGTCTGAAACCCTGAGAATATTAATAAATGGGTATGAAAGGCAAGTGAACAAAAGAAGGGCAAAGGACTGAATATAGAACTTTGGGGTGGTGGGGGGCTACCCATAGTAAGAGAGAAGGAAAGAAAAAGGAGTTTGCAGAGAAGTTAGAAAAAGAGCAGTTCTGAGAGAATGGAATAAAACTAGAAAAGAATTGGGCTGTGGAAACCAAGAAAGGCTTTTATAGGAGTAGGGCGTAATCAACATTATCAGATGTACAAAGAAGATAAGAATTGAAAGAAACGGTATTGGGCAAGAGCTCTTTTAGTAGAGTGATAGAGGTAAGGGCCAAAATATAGGACATTAATAAGAGAGAAAGTAGACAAAGACCACAGACCAAGAAGTTTCGGTATTAAGCAAAAGGAAACACAGGTATTATAAATGGCAACTAGAATTGGTAACAAAAGTTAAAGTTAAGTTATTTTTCATTGTTCAGCAAAAAGTAAGGAGGCCATTCAGAATGTGAGATTGAAGATACTAGAGAATGAAAGAGTAGTAATTATGAAGTAGAATCCTGGAAAAGAAGAATGGGAAGTGATCCAAATTCAGGTGGAGTTTCCTTTCTCTGAGATAAGGGAGGAGAAGCTGAAAGTATAAAA